CTGGCGGCGAAGGGCCTGCTGCCTTTCTGGAGCTTTGGAAGCCGACTGGGAACTTGCATAAGGAGCCTGGAATATAGGTTTTAAAGTCACTTTTCTGTGAGGTCACAGCAACTGACCAGCAACTGAAACGCTGGAAAAAATATCGAAGGCAGAGCGATTTTTCATGCTGCCACCTTATAGCTGGTTTGGGGATAAATCTAGATGGTTGCAAATAGAAAGGATTTTTACAGCAGCTGTAAAATGGACTTGTTTACTGATTTGGCACTGCTTGGCCGTTCACTTCTCATGCCTGTAAAGGACCTAGCAAATGCTGTTTAAAGCCAAAGTGGAAAAAACACCTCTATCTTAAGTGAGAAGGAAGATTTCTTCCTTTGTTTTCCTGCTACCAATTTAACCTGTCCAGAGTAAAGGGAGGGAAACAAAATAACAAGATGAGACCGATCAGATAAATTATTGTAGGAGTAACAGAAGATAAATTTAGAGACCCACCAACTCAAGATTTAAGAGAGCCCATTAGAGATTACTGGAAAAGTGCATAATCATTATGGCCTTCATCCAGCAAATCACTTAAGTATATGCTTAACTACAAATATGTGAGAAATTGACTTCAACTGTTCTATTGCATGCTTAACATTAAGCATACATTTAAGTATTCTTGATAAGGAGCTAATCACACTGTTTACCAAGGCATAGTTAGATCTTAGTGTGATTTTCTGTAATGTTGTGAACACTGTGTACCTAAAAACCCAGTGTCCAGATAGGAAAGTTTTCAAGAGCTGCTAATCAGAAAGGGGCTGTATACTAGAATGGAAGCATTTGCCTTGAAAATTATCTTCAAACATGCAGTAATTAAAACAAACAAACACCAAACACCAAAATACAAAGAGATTCCTTTGGTATATGACATTTACCATGACATTCTCAGCTCCACTAGTTCTGAGACAAAACTACCTGGATATGAGAATTGCTCTATTTAGAGGTAATATCAGAGCACAAAGTTCTCATGAAAATTAAAAACATTAGATGTGCATAGCCAAACAGGTGATGGTTGTATTTTGTTTCCGTGATAGCAGTGTCTAAGTGAAGGACTAGCAGAATCCTGAATCCTCTCCGGGGTCCTGCCAGTCTAAATTAGGTCATGGCACCTCATGAGTAGCCACCTCTGGATTCCCATGTGCCTACATTAGCCAATTCAAGAAGGGTACACTGTCTTGTGGCAAGGCCAGTGATGTGGGGATTCCCTGGGACAGTTTGCTGTGCCATGAGGAGTGCTGCACCAATAGCTGGCATTCTTCCTTCTCTCTGTAGTGTCCCAGAGACCTCTTACAGGAAGATCCAAGTACACTGATGGCCTGTTGGCCATTTACCTGTCCTGTGTGTGCTTTTTAACTTTGTTTTTCATGTTTTTATTGTGATTGTTGCATGCAATAATTTCACACATGCATGCCCTTAATATTGCTGCAATTAAATCAATAAAAGTACTTTGCATAAAGCAAAAGAAAAAGGCCTCACTGATGATGAGTGCATTGTACTTGAGCATTTATTTTGTTCTTCAGGTCATTTCTTCCTCTTCAAAGTCAGGCTTATCTAGCAATGCTGAGTCTTCTTAAACAGAAGGAGTGAAATTTAAATCGTGTTTTGGCTCAAAGATATGAAATGCAAGTTGGAACACTGAGACGTTCATATGCCAGTTTGGGATTTAAGTTGTGCTTTTTCATGATTTCTCAATTCTCCATGTACCTCAGTCACCTGTAAAAGCTTAATCTTGCCCTGTTTTACAGCAAGGGAAGTGTGTTTAAGTGCTCAGGTATTATGGTGATGGTATATTACAACGATGGTAAATAACTGTCTTTTCTTGAGTCTGGCCTAACAAACACATTCTGTAAATATATTTCGAGATATACTGAGAGGCTTATTTTTTACCAACCATGGGGTACAAAGTCTCATCCCTTCTGATGATGTTTTTGTGTTTGTTTGTATAGGCACATCCAAAGCAATACACAACCTCCTCAGGCTCCTGTGCCACCTTTAGGATATGTATCTGGAAACATTATTTCAGATTTGGAAACAGATGTTCCAGATGATGATGAAGATGATATTGAAGAGGAAGCTGTAGAAATCACTAGGCCACTAAGAGGTCTAGAGCATACTCCAGGCTCCAGTATGGACAATCTGGACAGCTCTGTGACAGGTAAGCAAACGCAGTAAACACCAACACAAGCTTTGTTTGTAACAGTAAAATGCATCATCAGTCAAACACTTTATAAGTGAAAATTTATTCCACTCTATTTCTGTAACATTTAAAATGTGTTAATATTAAACACTGAAGTTAAAGAAGGATTTGAAAATACTTTGCTGCAAAATGATAAGAAAATCCATGAATTTTAAAAAGCTTTAAAGACTTGAAAGAAAACTCAATTATATCCTAGCTTTCATGAAAAGTTCACTCTACTGGAGAAGCAAGTCAGTTACATAAAAAGGAGGGGGGAAGACTTTTCCTTAGGAATATATTTTTCATAAATGAGAAGCAGCATAAAAAGTGTTATCTTAAAACACTTTCAGATATTTTGCTGGGTAAATGCTTTCACAGATGAACTCATGGAAGTTAAAAGACTTCAGAATAAGTGCAGTTAGATCAGCACAACATTTTTTTTTGTAGCATAAATAAAACATTTTTGTAGGGAAGTGTGTGTTTTGAATGTACTTCATATTGATTAATTTAGTAATTGTTCCCTTTCAGTGAAGATATTTAATTATTCTGTCCCTTTTTCCTTCACTGCTGCTAATCTATTGCAGGCGTAAAGGGCTGCAATAGCAATCATCAAAGAGGACCTAGAAAAGCATTCTACCCTAGTGCGAAGAGTCTGAATTAATAAATTTGCTGCTAATGAAATATAGGCAGTGAAACATATTTTTGAAAAAAATAGACTTTCCATATGCATGTAATGAACTTTTATAGGCATAAGCACATTTCACTTTAACTTGAACTTGGGGCTCTGTTTTGTACTAGGTATTCGTAAGATACAGCTTTATTGGAGACCTGAATGTAGCTGATATCTGTAGCTCTTAAGTGTTGGTGTGTGCTTCTTCAGTCTTTGATCCCTCTGGAGGGGCACTAATTGCTGCTTGTTCCTTGAGGGAGGCTTACTCCATGCAACTCCCTACTGCAGCACAGCTTAATTTCATCTGATCATTCTGGACTTTGGAAATTGTAAAAAAAATTGCACCTTTATTTAAACATTGCTGTCCTGAAAACACTGCAGGACTATGACAGTGATGGAGCATCAATACCTCTAATTTTCTTCCTTTTCTCTTGCTGAATTAAATAGTGTGTTGCTTTATCCCACTTTCCAGGTTTTTCCGACCCCTAGGACCAGACTGCTTGCCAATCTAATTAAGATTTAAGAGCTGTAGCTCTACTGCTGTGATGTGAAATCCAGATCCAACTGAAAGCTGTAGATTTAAAGTTTAAATCCCTGAATTCAGAAGGTTAACATATTAGTGCATGAGTGTGTTAAGTCCCTTTCCTTGAATTTCCAGTGTAATCTCCTTCAGGCTATAATTCTGCATATTTTTGCATATCTCACTAATGGCTCAGAAGCCTTTCCATTAGGAATGCAGTAAAGGTTTTGCACTGGTAACACAGGAATAAATAAAGAAATCAGGTTGATATATATTTTTCCTTTGGTATGTATTAATATGTCAATGTTGATGTATCTATAAATCAGAAAATGGATGTTTTGCACGTTTACATTTTCAGCTAAATTGTGCACCAGCCTATCTATGCGAAGTAAGGCATGGATGTGTTTGTGCTCCAATTTATAGCCTTTGTGCTCACTTCGTTTTATCCTTTTATGAAGCATGTTTTCCTAGTTAAAATGTGTTATTTCTTGGAATGTTAAAAGCCTGTTGGCATACTTTCCAGAAGCTGGGCAGAACCTGGCAGTGTAGACTGGGTTTGTGCTTAAGGTGATCGTTCCCACTCATACCCACCACCATCTTGGTGTTGTCTTATCCAGCTGTTTTCCTTTGGCTGTTGCTTGTTTCGTTCCTGGCTGGATCGCTTTCTTGGTCTGCTTCACTGCATGGCCACGTGTTGACTGGCACTGCAGGAGGGGAACATGCAGCTGTATGGAAAGGAAAGGGACAGGCTGCCCCTATGGCTTATAGCCTACACCTCGACTGGCTTACAATGATTAAGAAACTGTAGCCTTGCAAAAATACATCCTATGTGCTAGTCTAAATGACCTATAAAATCCCAAAGTCTCCAAATAACAAAACCACTTCTATTTTCTTCCATCACTATATAGGCAAAGCTTCAATTTTTTGAGTTAGGTTTTTTTTCTTTTTCTTTTCTTTTTTTTTTTTTACAAGAGGTTGGGAGGAAATTGCTTGTTATATGTATGGGAAAAGTTTCAAAAGAAAATTTTAATATTTTGTGTGCATTTTTTGTTAAACTTCCAGGTTGCATTTTTAATGTTCAGGAGGGTATATAATATATTGCATCTATTGTTTCTAAACTGTTTCTCATTCTTTAATTTGTTTTCCTTTAGGACACCATTATTTTCCACATCTAACTAACTCACTGGTTCTTGCCACTGCAAAAATTTAAGCTACTTCCTTTTATTGGGCTTTGGATGTCTTGAATCACCATTTTCCTAGAAATTCATTACATTTTCACTTCTTTAAACATTATATAAGAAAAGTGAGGCAAAACAAAACAGCTGGCCTGGAAGAAGCAGTGTTCTCTCTCATTCTCAAGTGTGTTCTGTGAGTTCAGTATTTGAGCGAAAATTACATGGCCATTCCTAGATGCGGGCTTCCTCGGAGCAGAGCAGCTGTGGTGTGAGCAGGAGGAGTTTCCTCGCTGGCCAGCACACCTCAGCAGTGGCTCCAGGGCACCCGCTGCAGGAGTGAGGTGGCACTTTGTTCTTCATGGCTGAGCTGCGACTGGGGTTTTCATCCCATGCCAAATACAGGGTTCTCTTTGGGGAAACACTGGCTCTGCGTGAGCTGAACTCAGACTGCTAAGTTCCTCTGAAACCCAAGTGTTGCTCCTTTAAACTGTTTAAAAGGCAGGTTGTCTTGCAGGCCCTTGGGTTTTAGTTACGCCTAACTGAGGATTCAGACAGGGATTTAATCTGTGCTTTTTAAGCTTTTCTTTTTGCAGGTGGCAGAAACATAACGTTGACATGTATAATCAAGTGAAAAGAAAGGAGGTGCTCACAGTAACTATATCATAACGTTTCTCCAGATATTGCAGAGGAAAATCAAGGAGGGAGATGTAAATTGTAACATTTGGGAAATGGAACATGAGATGAAAGCTGAAGTTTTAATTTGTTTCCAGCATGGCTCATTAGGATACTAAAAGTTGTTGATTCTGATCAGAAAAAAAAAAGAGGAAAGCATCTCTACCACTTCTTGACTTCTAGTTAACAATCATTTGGGTTTCTTTTTGCTTTCACAGACACACTGAAGTATGGCTTTTCTTTTACTTATGCTTAATGTTTGCATTTACAATGAATTGCTGTGCAGAGTGATGGCTTAAATGGTTACGGAGAGTCTGTTATATTATTCTACATTAATAGACTTAATTAATTGCATAAGATGACTATATAAGGAAAGGATTTTCTTGTCACTGGAAAGACCCCTTGGTTTTGTGAGGCCAGATTATTATTGTTTGGGGGCTTTCTTTGCCCTGTCCTTGTCCTGCCATCCTCCCGTTTCACAGTTTTGCAGCTCCACCAGTAGAATCGGTAGTGGGAGCTCCTGTGTCTTCAATCCTGGTGCATTATTACTGAGGGAAGAGATGCACCCATTCACTTGCATGGAAATTCTAACAACAAGCCCTTCTTCTGCCCAATAAACCAACAGAACCCTAGAGTTATTCTTATAAATGATACTCCTGCATAGAGAAACCAAACCTGATTTTTTAAAATTATATAGAGCTGATATTATAAAGATTTCCATAGGATATGTGGGAAGAAAATGTCCTGGTCCGCCATCTTTGGGACTTGGCTTAAAAAAAGTCACTCCGATCACTGCCTATATAGTAAAAGTTGTTCATTCATTGTGACTGGGACCAAGGAGAACAATTTTTGAATATTACACAGAGTCATTTTTGTGAGCCATATTCTACCAAGGCAGAGTTCACTATTTGTATTGATTTGCTTGGGGATACCTATTGCAAAAGTTCTATTTTATAAGCAGTTAGACAGATTGCATTCAATAGGAAGAATGTGTTTCATCGATTAAATATGTGCTCTGAAAATAGGAAGCTGCTAGTTTTTGTATCTCATAAAAATGGTAATGTAACAATTAGCAGGGTCATGTTATAAAGCACAGACTTTACTCTAGCTTAATGGATCTAGGGATATGCATTCATCAGCAAGGATGGATTTAGCATAAAATGACATGTAAATGAATTGATGACTGATCATAAATTAATTTTAGTGCTGAAGATGTAATAGAGACACAGCAAGATGCCACTTTATCATAGTATTTTACTGCTCAGCAACATTTGAGCAACTACTTAATGTTCTGTGTGCATTTCTTCTCTAACAGCTTGAATAAATTTCAGAAAATTTTGTTCCTTTCAGCAATATGGAAACCAAAAAATCTAGAAAGATTGAAAATGCAAACACAAATAAATTTGGCTAAGTGGCATAAATTCATTTTTCATTAAATGTTTATGAGGACATTAATTATGGTTGGACCTATGAAGTGCCAAATACATATATATGTTTTGCTTTATTTTATGGAGGATTTCCTGCCCCCAAATTGCAATTTTTAAATGTTTATTTCAGATATACGCATATAAATGTTTGTGGCAAGGTGGTAGTATAAAGTGAATGTCTAGGTATAATTTATGAAGTGTTGTCATGTTTGTAGTCTTCATACAACACCTTCCATTATTCATTTGTATTTTAATGATACAAGAGCTATTGCCCCTTTTTCTTTCATGACTTCCACTGAAGCTTGTGTTCATTACTTCTTTATAATCATGTCAATAGTCAGATACACCCAAAAGAGGATAAAGTTTTTCCCTTGTACAAAGACTAGAAGAATTGTGGAACTAATTTCAGCTGAAGTATCCTCAGTTCCAAAGAACTTTGTCCATGCTTCACTAATCTTGATGTTCTAGCTCCTATTCACCAAAAAAATGAGTAGGGATTTAGTATTAACATGTATGTAATGGTCTCATGATGGAAAGCCCATATATATATGCACACAGGTCCCCCTGGCATCAGTAGTTAAATTTAAGCATGCACATTGAGTTGCGTACAGAAAAGGATCTAATGGGATTTTCAGAAGTGTTAGGTTTGTCGAGAGCAGGTTTTATTACACAAGTGCATTACATTTTTTTTTTTAACAGTAGAGCAAGTGTATGCTTTACGTAGAAAAATGGCATCTTTATTGCTTGTGAAATGCCACTAAAAGTGGTAGCATGCCATCTACAAGAAACTAACACCTCTATTCCCCTCACCTTTTCCTAAGAGCAAAAAAGCTTTCTGTTTGCATTAGCACCAAGAAATATTTTATGGGGCAAGAAAACAGAGTTCAACTTTTCACAGAGTTGATTTTGTGCTGCATAAAGCATTTACTGCTGCTGTCAGCAAGAGTAAAATTTACAGTTGCCAGAAAGCGTAAACTCAAATGTGCTCTTGGAAAACACAGTGAGCTGCATGTAAAGGAGACGCTAAAAGCCTGTTTCATTCCATTTGAAAAATGCAGAGTTGATCTGAAAAGGATGTCAGCATCTCTTATTCTGCCTTTATTCAGAGAGAGACAAATGTGCATCTGATTTGGAAAACAAGAGGCCAGTGGGTGCTGTTGAACAGGCAGTCACCATGTGTGCTGCATTAACGCAGCTGCGCCGCGGCCTGCGGTGCCCAGGCTGGACTCCAGCACTCTGGAGTCCAGGGAATGTCCTCACCTCTGGAGGGCAACCAAAGACATGCTTTGACTTATGCAAGCTTTAGTGGGGAGAAAGGTGTTTACGCAGAGAAACTGCATAGCTCAGGAAGCCCTAGAAATCACATCGAAGCCGCACGTGCAGGGGTGGTCGCTACAGACTGAGGGTATCTTGCCAGCTTAGGCAGTTACAACATTTTGCTTCAGCTTCCAGGTTGCAGGTGGCCCAGTACCCAGGAATGACATCATTATTTGTGCTGGTTGTCATCTGCTTTGGCTCTGTGAGCAAGGAGAGCTCGCGACCGTACGGGAATGGAGCCGTTTCCACACTGCCCACGGCTGGCGAGTGCGAGGTCGCGGTGGTGGAAGTGATGCCCGTGCGGAGTATGAGAATAGAGACAAGCTTAGGGAACGGGCCTTTCTGAGAAAATTAACTAGTACATACCTGAAAAATTAATTTGCAGCCAGATAACAGCACTCTGTTAATGATTTATGTTTAGGTCTTGTTGAGAAAACCCAGCATGCCTGTGCATGTCCAGAATGACAGGTATACCCATGCATGCTGGAGAGGACATTATCCACTTCCGCAGATCTCTGGTATATGAAAATGTGCATTATATTTTGAGATGGGATGACAGTCCTTTTAAGAGCAGATGAAAAACAGCAACTGTTGCCTAGATATTCTCTGAAAGTACCCCATCCAAATGGGTTGAGTAACTAACTAGCAAGTGGAGCAAATGTGAACAAGTGGAAACTGAGACTTAGTATTAGAATACATCCGTATTCTTGTCCCCGTGATCTGGAAAAACATATATATTTTGTTCAATATGCATTTATATATGTGTATATAGAGATACACATATAGGTTTGATACCTATAGCTCTAGCATTTTTACGTTTTAGCTTGTGCTTAAATATTTTGCAGAATGTATGTGTTGATAAGCAATTGTTTGAAAAAGTCCTTTGTTATTGTATTTCATTTTCTTATATCTTCTTGAAGTGTTCTATCTCTGGTATCTGTTTTCATGCATCATCAATAACTTTTGTCAAGTCTTTTTATTCTTCTTTTTGTATGATATCAATCGAATCACACTTTGGTAGTTCAGAAACTATCTTTTCAGAGGATACTCAGTTTCAGCATTACTTGCATCTGTCTGCATCGGGTCAAGTCTCTTTGGAAAATAACAATTTTATGTGTGCTCTTGGCAAGCAGAACCAAACTCTGTCACTCTCTGTTGCACTTACCACACTTTCTGCCTGTCAGACCTCTACAGACCTCTTCAGTTTCTTTTCTTGTATCTTAGGAGTGCATGGACATGTGTTATTATAGCCTGCCACTTTGCTGACATTAAAAGATTTGGTATCTGCAGCATCACAAAATAATGCATTGTTCTTGCAGGGTGCTGCTAACTAAATTCATGCTTTCATTTGTTGTAACTTTTGACTTATTTGGCAGGATATTTTAAAACTTTTACACCACCACTTATCCTCTCAATTTGGTACTGATAAGCAGATCACAATTTGTAACAAATAATCCTTTCTTGGGCATGTAATAAAAAGAACTTGAAAGGAAAAGCCTTTAAGTGCTAGACATCTTCCAAGCTTACATGTAAATTCACCTGTGCTAGCTGAATGCTAAAGTCGGGCCCACGATGTCTGTCTCCCTCCACATGTGTCTTTTCCTGCCTTGGAAAGTCAGTTCTCTGCAGGTTCTCATTTCCTTACTCTTTGTTTGTTTGCTTGCTTTTCCAACATATGCATGCCAATATTTTTAACAAGGAGCCTGTGGGTCCTTCAAGAAAGGGAGATGCCTGAGCTATCTCAGAACAGTATGCTTTGCCTAGAGAGTATCATACAGTGCCGTGCAGTGGTAGAACCTGGGTCCCAAAAGCAGTCTGTGCTTCAGTAGGGCTTAGTATCTAATTATCCTGGTAACTAATTGCCATGGCTGTCCTGTTTGTGGAGCAAAGTTGGGTGTTTGGGACTAGCATGTGTTTCTTTGCCTCCATTCGGCTCCATACCCGGGGACATTTATGCATCATTTTCAGAAGCGCAGAACACTCTCCACTCCACTTGAAGCAAATAAGAGCAACAGAATTTCATCGCTTTGAAAACACTAAACTCAGTGATAGCTTTGGAAACTATATGTTGTTTTGTACATAGGTTAGTTGATCGATGTTCCACGTGTTAAAAAATTAACAAGGAGAATATAAATGAAGAGCAAAGGTGAATCCTTCCTTCAATATTCTACTCTTTACACTTTAATTATGTCAAGCCTTCTGTGTTGCTTTCATGTATTACCTGCTTTTCTCATTCCATTTTCCTGATGTTACTTGTCATTCTCCTGTCCTGCAGTGGTGGTAATAAATACGTGGCCACAAGGTATCGTCATGAGGCCAGTATTGGTTCACTGAGTGATTCAGTATTTAATTTGAGTGTATATTTACTCTGCTCTTGAAAGTCTGCTTCTAACCTTTTAAGAAAGAAACTTTAATCCTCTAGAATGAACTGCTTTAGGTCAGTTTTGTTTTGGACATTAAGATTGTTCATCTATTTAAAGTTTCTGCTGAGAGAATTGTGCAAGCCCAGCCTTGTTCAAGATAGCTCTTGGTGCCCATGTCTGACTGTCTGAGATTTACCTTTGTGCTGCCCTAAATTAAGGTTTTATGTTGCAAATATCAAACTAGATGCTGGTTTATACTAAGTAGAAAAATCACATTGCTTTCGTTGCTAAGGAAATTTATTGACTTTCAATAGGATTTATTATGGATCCTTCACATCTGTGGAAGATTTGTATCATTTTGTTTACAGGGTCAAAACAACATGGAGTAAGCTATGAATGAGGTAACAGCTAGTTTTGAAAAATACTGTTCTTTTGTATTAAGTTTGGTCAGATAAACTTTGGGTTTCCTGTTGACACAGGACATATTAAGTGGGCCTGTAAGCTTTAGATAATCGAAAGGTATGAAATATAAACAACTCACTAGAGCCCTACATTTGTTTTTAGGTTCAATGGTAAATGGATGGGGTTCTGCGTCTGATGAGGACCGTAACTTTTCTAGTCATAGATCTAGTGTAGGTAGCTCCTCAGATGACTCGATCTTTACCAGCGGCAGTTTTGCACAAGCACTGGTTGCAGCAGCAGATAAAGCTGGTTTTAGGCTGGATGGAACCAGCCTGACAAGAACAGGTTTGTAGACTCAAAATTGCTGCTTTCTGCATGAAGGGTGTCTCTGCCTATTCTCCTCTTTTCAGTGAACCTGAGTCTCACTTCACATTTGTCTAACATGCATGGAATAAGGTGGATGGAGATATTTTTAAGTGCATATTCTAAACAAAACCTTCTACTCATTTCATTTTTTAATGATTTGAAGTAGTGCATTGCACAAGCTATTAATCAGCACCTACAGTCTGCTTTTTCCCTTTCTGCTGACTCTACTATAGATTTACTGACATATCCTCCAAATAATATTTCACTGAAGAGATCACTAATTCTACCACGCAGTTTTTGATGATTTAATTTTTGCAAAGTCTTCCTACAATCAATAACATTTGCAGTCAGGAAAATCATGTTTACGCTATTATCTCCATCCCTGCTCTTCTGTTGCATCTCCTCTTGCAAAAAAATGTATTTTTCTGAGTATTTTTTTCTAAGCATGGGGTGAAATTGTATACTTTTATTATTAACAATACAAACTGTTTAAAAGTCTTATTGATCAGCTGACTTTAAAAATAATTTGATAAGTTACTGTATTTTTATTAAATTTAATTTTAACTGTGTCAACTAGGATTGCAAGTTAAATGCAACAAAGGTAGAATGATTATTGCTTCTGATAACGAATTATTCTGTCTTTTAGAATGAATTAACAGTAAATATAATTTAGTTCATAATTTAAAAACTTATGTTTTATTTCTAGAACAAAATATGATAAGTAACATTTATTTTCAATATTCTGAACAGAGAACGTATTTGAACTTGCTTAGTCTTAGCAAAATTGTGAAATAATTTATTAATTCCATAAAACCGAATAGCAAAGTATGAATTTGGGTTGTATTTTTTTGTTACGATATCTCTTCCTATTTCTACCCATAGTTCCCATAGTGTTCTTATCATTTAAATTTTTTTATTAGCCTTGTATCAAGCTTATCCTTCAGTAAAGTAGGTGCATTTATGAAAAATGTGTGCAAATGTTAGGCTTAATATTGCAGGCTTTCTGCATGCAATGACTTTATAACAAACACTGCATTTTTAATCCATGGCAAAATCCTGAGCTGCCAACAAACTATAGGGTGAAATTCCAGCTTCTCTGAAATTATTGGGGCTTTGCAGTTAGAGAGTTATTTCACTGTCTGCTTTAGTTCTTCACTCATCTGCTATAGGCCCAGTTTAGGCAAACTGTAATTTTAAAGATATTAGTTTCCTTGAAGAGTCTCCTAAATAGCCTTGAATGAAAGGAATAATTCCTTTCCACCTCTTTTATTTTTGTGTTCTTCTTGGCCTGAATAAAGGCTAATATGAAGACTCATTTTAGTCCAATGTCGTTTATATCAAGCCCTTTAAGAAATATATTTTCCACCAAAAACAAATGTAAAACAAAAAAATGGGCACCTAAACACTTTAAAATAAATATAAATTTCTCATTATAGCTATGTAAAGGGGATATCCAAAGATGGGGTGGGAGCTCTATTGTCAGGTATATATTTTTTTAGCTTCGTTGGGGCGCAACGCACTTAAATTGAGTACTTAAATGTAATTCCTTGGATATTCTAGTAGAGCGTAGGTTACATCAAATTATTCCACTGTTGCTGTAGAGACATTCTCATTATTACTTTTTAATGATCCAGCAGGCACAACTGCAGCAAAACAAAAACCCCACATAAACAAACAACCCTCCCCTCTTTTCTGAACAAAAACAGCAGCAGAGGGAAGCAACTCCCCAGCGCTCGCTGCAGTTTGCTCCTGGCGCGGTGCCTCCTGGGGCAGCATGATCCATCAGACCTGCCTGTTATGGTACCTGCTGCACCACACTGAATCCCAGATGGTGCTGAATGGTGCTTCGTGGCAGAGAAGCAGTAGCAGTGCTCTTTTTTTTCTTTTGTATAGCTCGTTTTTTCTGGAGGCAATCTGAAAGGCTTGGCTCTTCTCCCTTGCTCCCTGGACAGTTATTCCCACCTGTCCAGAAGAAGTGTGAAATATTCGCCCTGTAGCAAAGGAGAAGTCCAGTTTGGTCACCTTGCGTGGGTGTGCTCAACTGCCAAGCATCATAGACGTGGTAAATTCAGGTGCAGGGTGTCTCTCCTGCAAGACACCTGGATTCCAGCTTCCAGAGACCATCGTGTGATTTACCATGCAGTTCAGCCAGGTTCCTTTCTGACACCCTTGGGAAATTAAGCCGTGAATTGGTGGATTCATCCTTGTCTCCACTTATATGCACTAAATCTGCTATAGAGAGTCTGACACTGCTCAGCAGTTTTTACTGGAAGGGCTGCAGATGAGAGTAAAATAGATGCTGCAAGCAGATCTGAGGTGCACTCAAAGATGTATTTTGGAAGCCTGCACATCATCTGTTTGCCCCATGTCTAACTCAAATCAGTGAGTCAGTGCTATTTATTACCAGCCCTCATTTTCAGGAAGGGGTAAGGGATTTTTTTTTTTTCAGATCAGCATTCTGAAGTGAAAATCAGTGAAGAGAGTGTGAAGAATATTCATCCTGCACTCACCAGTTGCACTTGAATGTTGAGAGTTTATTTTTACAGAACATCTGTGCAACATGGTGTGAGCTAGGATGGAATTTCAGGCTCTTCTCTGAATTTCCTTGCATTAGTGGTCTTTTTAAATAAAATCCATACTATTTTGTCTGTGTTCATCTGCTGTTTAATCCTTACCAATGAAACAAGGGCTTGATCAGTTGTCTGTCCGGCTGCAGCTGTGCCAGCTATAGAGGTTGATGTTCCCAGCTTTCCTGCTTTCTCCCATCTCCGGACTTAGCTGCTTGGGTGGGTGTTCTGTAACCCATTTCAGCCCAAATGAACCAGTTAGCAGCAGCATACTACTCAAACTGTTCAAGCTTATTCTGTTCTAATTTGATGAAGAAGAATTAGGGAATGTCCACATAAGTGATTCAAATGTGTTAACTTCTAATAGCTGGCAATGACATGCAGCTGGGAGACAAGCTAACCGAGGAGCAGTGTCCTCTTTGTGGTGCACAGCAGACAGAAGAAGACAAAAGAGCAAGCGTGAGAGAGCCAGAAAAATGCAAAACTGAAATGCTGAGAGGTTTCTAACACGTGTGCATTAATGCATTGACAGCATTTTCAAGAGCCTATGGCCACATTTTTTCACTTTTCCTCTTTTTGCTTTGAGGACATTTCAAAGAGTGTAGTAGATAGCATATTAACCCCTGATTAGGCTTATCCAGATCAGATAGATTGTATATGATGGCATGCTGGAAGTAAGTGCATCCATTATCATGCATTAAGAGCAGTGCAGCACTCCACACCCAAAACTTTGACTCTAATAAAACCCCTGGAAAGTTTTACTACAAAACCCCGGTTACAACAGTGTGCTCCATGCTCTAAGTTAACCAGAAGACAAAGCAGCCTCTGACAAGCTTGGAGTCAGGTGACCAGAAAATTCAAAAACAATTTTGTCCCTTTCCGTCAACTTTTGTACCATTTGGACCTATATCTGTACTGAAAAAAACAGCAGCTCTGATTGGCTTATAATCTTTCCATTGTAGATAATTTTAAAACAAGTAGAAGTTTTATGTATCTAATCTAAACAGAGTGCTCACATAACTAAGGTGCTTGTTAAAGATGACGTGCAGATGAAAAAAAGAAAGTAAAAGACAATGATATTGAGTTTTCATCAAATATCATTAAGCAACAAACAAGCGTAGTTAAGTTATTTAGCTGAAAAGAGTATCAGAATAAAAAGAAGTGAATTAAGTAACCAAACTGCTCATACATTCTCTGCTGTGATGCCTATAATCATCTGCTCTAGAGAGTAGGATCAAAGATTTTTTTAAGGACAAGTCACATCACTTGATCAACCAATATATAACAAATTTCTCAAGAATGTTTTTGCTTGGAGTACAATATTTTTTAACATATGAAAGTGCCCAAAGTGATTTGGAAAATTTTACTGAACAAATATACTTCCATTTTTATTTCCTGTAGAGAAAGGAGCCGTTAGGTATGCAAACCCACAGAGCTATGTAGCTTGCAAAATCACTTATATTTATCTCACTGGAGTTACTCCAGATATGCAGTGCTATGGGAGCCCCTAAAATGAGAATCTGGCTTAGCAAATGGTGAAGGTGGAAACCGTGAGGAAATAAATTTGATATGATTGCAGAGCTATTTTCCTTCACTGTGCAAGGCTCGGGAGTTGTTATGACACATCTGTTCAGAACACAGAGCAGGTAGGAGCTATACAACATGCAGTAGTTTTATCACAACAGATGGAATGATTTTAATTACAAAAGTTAAAGACAAAAGAATGCCAAGTTTCTCCCTTTGCTTATTGTAGTGTGTCTGAAAGCAGTTGTCATTGCTGGGTACCTCCAGGGGACACTTGCTTGCCTCTGAGAATTAGAACAGCTTTAATGTTTCAGAACAGACATTAATAAAATAGGCAGTAACATTTCAAGGCGATAACATTTTTTTCCCGTTTGGTTTCTCTTTCTTTTAGGCAAAGCATACCCTTCCTCTCAGAGACCTCGGCCAAGCAGCCCGTTTTCTACTGACAGCAACACCAGCGCCGCTGTCAATCAGAGCCAGAGGCCAAGGCCTACTAAAAAACACAAGGGAGGCCGGTTGGACCAACCCCCCTTGCCTCATCGTAGGGAGGGAATAACAGACGGTAAGTTGTGCAGTGTGAAGTCCCCTCCCTGGTGATGAGTCACGGTGAGCAGGTGTGCAGCCTGAAAGGATGGAAAATATTCTTCTAAGAAGTGCACATTACCGTGAATTATTGGCTTGGGGAAGCAGGATCCCTAAGTTGTCATATGAATGATACTGTAATACTTGCAAGCGTGAAGCTTGCTTAAGTGGTTCTCCAAGAAACCTACCTCTGTCTCAGATCTGGACATGCTAGTGTCTCTTGGGTTTCCTCAATACAAATCTTACCGAAAACTAGCAGCTTCTCCTTGGTTCACATTACAAAACAACCTTTGAGCAATGTTACATTAAATGTAAGTAGCCACCACATGACAGTCAGAGTATTCAAGGAAGTCCTAAAGAGAAATGCAGAGCAAGTCCCACAGTGTTTATGCCCTTTTAGACAACTACCCCGTATCACAGTAGCACATGTCATGCTTTTCTCATGATTCTGCTTCCCGTCTTTTTGGTGCCGCTTCATTCCTGAAAGCCACTGACCTTGGTGACTTTGCTTCTGTCTTTGACATTCCTCTCTGCTCTGGCCACCGCTTCCCATCTGGAAATTTCAAGTGTATTTTTTCTGCTATTCTCATCGTTAGGATCAACTCTGTCTTCCATTATCTTTGTCCACCCACTCTTGAGTTTGGCCAGAGATGCAGTTGCTGCATGTTACTCTTTGAGGAGGACAGAATAGGAAGACAACTGGCTTGCCAGAGAGGGAGCTCTTTTCTTCTGATTTCCTACCTGGCCACTCTAGGTACTGAAATGATTAGAGGGGACAGGCAGTCCAACAGAAAGACAGCATCAATGGAACCACCAAGGATAACGTTAATGCAGTGCAGATGGCATGCGAGCTCTTTTCTCATGCCACTCTCTTTCGGTGTTCAAGACAGGGCAGTCCCAAGAGCTAGATCTTTCTATCTGTTACAACATACCAGTGTTTATCTTATAGTCATAAGTAAACCTCAAGAAATCTTCCAGGATATGGAAAAGACATAAAAAAATTATTTGACTTTAGACTTTAGTATAACAATCTTCTGAACTCTAGTAAAAATTACTTGAGAATTCCTTTATTACATTTTCTGGTCAGGTAATGTGTTAGAAATTAAATTGAAGAGATTATTCATTTGGTTTGGTTATAATATGTTATTCATACTATGGGTGCATGTATGAAATATATAAGCAGCATACAAGCTGGACCATAACCACCAAAATACTAAAGCTCTCCTCTCAGTCATGTGCTTCAGAAGTACAGATACAGTTTTGCAGCATATTCTGACATTCACAGTTTGTCAGGCCATGAAGGCAGAAAATAGCTTCCAGAAGTAAAAACTCTTCACCAGAAAGGTCATCTTTATATCTCATGCTCTGTAGCTCATCTTCACTATGATGTTGTTTTGGGAATGAGCTCCAAACAGCTTAGAGCCCAGTCATATAGCCTGTATTGGTTTAAATGCTAATATACTTCTGAAAGTATTCCAAAGGCCTCCCTTCTTCAACAACTGTTGCACACAGATCAGATAAATAGAGGTAGCTGAGGGGAATAGTAAGTGAAAATTGTGTCTATTGCTTTTAGTGATGGATATATGTCAGTGATGTAACATTAGTTCCATAGTCTGTCACCTTGGACCATAAACCTTATGGGCCAGAACTCGTGTCTACATGTGTGTCTAGTGCATCCAGTATAGTGTGGCCTTAATCCTCCTGCTTTTGAGCACTAATGCTATAGAAACAATAATACTGCTGGTACCATAAAAATAATGGGAAGCTGGTTCAGATCATAAGACAGATAGAACTGTGGCTCCTCAGGGAGTGTTTCCTCCATAAATTTTGAGAGTTTCATTTAAATGTGTGAGAGAGAACAGCTTTTAAGGTTTGTCTATAAAAAGAAATCTTTTATGGTCTTTAATTTTCTCTTCAAAATAAACTAAACTTAAAGGAGTTTCTTTCATATATTTGTGTCAGAGCACCAATCATATATTATTTCAATCAGCCTCTGGTAACAGTACTCTGCCTTTAGAGACCAATAACTTATTGTTTGCCTGCTACAAACTCAGTTGAAAATACTTGCTCTATGTTCCAAAAATGTATAACATCCTGAAGTAATAGAGGATCTTTTCCCATCCTCTCTTGCCACAGAAACAAACAAACACAAACTTTACAGTTTTCCCATTTCAAGTATTACTCATGATTCATTAAAGTATAAAGGCTGGTCTGAATCAAAGCTAAATTTGCAAAGCAGCATTTGTCAGTTAAAGAAGCTAGAGATTGCTGCTGCCACCTGTATGTAGGTAAGCAAACTGAATTTAGTAACTCTCCTATTTATGATAGGAATACATAAATAATAATACTGACCTTTTCTCAACAGTAACTTTCCAAACATTTAACCATGAGAAATAATACCACTCTCCTTAAGATACCAAGTAGGAGAACCTGGGATAGATCTAGTTCTTCTGAGCCTTAATCCAAACCAATCCATTCAGCCCTAGGAGTTAATGAGTTCAGTGGGGGTTGTCACTGTAAATTTTCTTCTGTTTTTGATATCTCACCAGTCCAGACCTGTACAATTGCTTCCTTTTGGATTTGTTTGTAAGAACATACCCAGTTTGTCAGTTTTCTTCAAATTCCTAAGATGATGGTATTCAGCGAGCCTTAGCGTTTTGTGTTTAAGTTCATCACATGCTTGACATCTGCTGCTTTAAATTTTCATTGACTATGTGAACTCCAGCCACATCCTTTCTCTGCCCTTTTTGATACACTTCCTGAGTGCTTCCTCCTTATTAAATATGACCAACTGGGGTAGTGCAAAAAATCCAAAGAACTGTAATGACTATAGTGCATAGCACAGAGATAACAGCCTATGTAAACATATAAAAATAAAATGACGTGCTTACTTTGGACAGAGATCCACACAAAGAAGTCCTCCCGCTTCCCCCGCCCCTAAAAAAAAGTCTACTGCTGCGTATATTTTGATTGCAGTTCAGAGACCTCTAAAAATTATCTCCAGATTGAACTTTCATATTTTTATTCCTGTAGGTACTGATTTTTAAGTTCCCTGTCCTAAAAAGATAACCTTCTTTTTAAAATTCTACATTCTCTTCTCTCATGTAATGCTGTGATCAAAGTCACCTTTGCTGTCAGATAAGCTAGTAATCAGACAATGGCACTGACATATCCATTTTTCTTTTCTTAAGCCATGTTTATGTTAAGAGTTTGTCATTTGAACTTACAGCTTGAGTTCACCAGTAGTTGTATGACACCATGTCATCTGAGGATTCATTTGGGAACAGTAGTACACTAAAGTAATTACTTAGGATGTTAAATTTAGTTCTTAGCTACATGCTTAACTTGACTTTTTAAGGAAATGAAACTTTTATATTTGGCTTTTTTGAATTTTATTTATTTGGCTGTCTCTGCCCTGTATCAACTCATCCCATAATTTTTTAACAAATTTTGACAGGGCACAACAATCTCAAAGGTAATTTGGTTCCTGGAAAAAAAGGGAAAGAAGCATTGTAAATCTTCTGATGAAAAGGCTGTGGGGACAGCAGATAATCCACAGGGGAAAGATACCATATGAATCCCTCAAATGTTGGAGAACATTCATTCAGAGCTTGCAGTCAACCTTAACAAACAAATGTGTGAGTTTTAGTTCTAGTGCTCAAGGAATAATTTGTTTTCTTGAAATTAATATATTCCCAAATTGTAAAACACTGGAATACACGATATCCACAGTAGTATGGTCACTGCTTTACAGAAATTAAATGTTCTTCAGATTAGCGTGAGGTTAGAAAAAACAAAGAGGAGTCAGAGGGAAAGTATGGTAGGGGTTAAAAGAAGAATTAGGGGAATTAGTTAAGTTTTCTTTTAGCCTTGCCACTGGACTTTCTATCATGTATTGCCGATCAATTTTTGCTGAAGTAGATCACTGTAAAGAAAATGCTAGAAAATGGTTCAGGGTCTTATTCAATGTAACAGTAATTATCCCCCTTGGGAAAACGAATGGCTAGCACAGGCAGAAAAGAGTGCCCATATTACTTCTTGGTGCCCTAAGTTCATGCTTTTTCTGGCTAATATTGGGAGGCTACACCCAGGCTTGACTGGTACCTGAGTGATTTGGCCAATACTCTACCTTCTCAAAGAGGATAGGCATAACCCCAGGCCAGATTGCCATCTGCCTCTGATCATGTACTTTGATGTCCCACAGCTTCTCAGTCACAATCCCTCCGTTCGTTAGTAAATCAGTAAGACCATCACTACCTCTCCAATACAATTATGAACTGGCTTGCAGATTTAACAATCCTGCCATGAGCAAGTGGTAGTTTGGATGGCATCCCACTAACCTAATAAGTTACTAGCTGAATATGGCTTTCCAGTATTTTACCATGCCATCTAATGCCATTTAGATAGAAGCCTAGCGACAAACAATGATACTACTCTGAGCATCATTGCTGAAAACCCTACTGAAGTCCCTAAAATTCTAGATTACCGATTTCTCTGAAGTGATTCATGTTACAGAATGAATTGGCTCATCTGCATGGGATAATAGGAAACCAAGACTTAGCTTCTGAGATCTCTGTTATCTTTGGCTAGCAGCCAAAATCCCAGCCATTAAGCATCATGCATCTGCTTACTCATATACATGTGTTTAGACACATGCACCCTCATAGAAACACGTCTGTCTCGAAAGCGAATGGAGATGCAAGGAAAGGCAAGTCTCTTTTCTGTGTCATTAGGGGAGGAAACTCTTCATGACTACATATGTGCAGGGTCTCCATGTATGCCCAGGCAAGAGAGCGGAGTGTATTTAGGAATTTACCTAAGGCAGACAGGCATTAGAAGTTTTAAGTTGTAGAGCAAATAAAAGGCCACACTGCTAAATGAAGCTTCTTCCAGCTTCTTTTATGAAACATGAAACTTACTCCGATGTTACTGTGACAAGCGTTTGAAAGAAGGTGAAAAAGCAAGTGGTTTAGTCAGGTGATGGTTGTCTGGAAGTAGCAAGAGATCCTTACGTATCTCTTCAGGTATATCTAACACAGTTCAGTAAATCTGTACTCAGGTTGAAGCCAGTTTACATGAATTCTGTAGTGCCTGTAATTTCTCTTGGAGCTTCATCAGAAACTAAATTTTATTTTTCATTTCAAATAGCTCATATCATCCACAGGTTTAAAGCACCCAAAGACCTTTCCAAACATGGATTTTCGTTTCACTTCTATACATCAGACAATTATTATGCCCATTTTGCAGACAGATAAGAGCAAGAGCTCTTAACAACTGATCAACAACATTAGCCCTTTGTAATTCCCGGAGCTGTAGCTGGCTCTAGAACACTCACTATGGTTCAAGTGTAAACCTTCTGTATTTCTCAGTGCCTAATTGACAACTATTAAATTGCAATAAAATGTTCAGAAGAAGTTTAATATTGCAACCATTTTAACACTTTTTGGGTGTGGTATTATCCACTGCATATTTAAAGCAACATTGTATTAGTCTTAAATCATTTCATATTAAATATGTAAATATTCTATTTATGAAAATTGCATTGTCAGATTTTGTTAGGGCTATCTTTTTTAAATTCAATATATGTCCCAAAAGTGCCTGTAAATTACAGATTCAGTAATCTCTATTTCAGATTGCATAAGCAGATGCCAGTGTTGTGGTTCTGTTCTTTCGCTGGTTATGATCACAATAAAATCAATTATAAAAAATGCCATTTTGGAAGCCAAAGCTATAAAGCAATTGTAACATCAATATTGACTGGGATGACCTATCAACAAATTTCAGAATGTTACTTCCACAAAAGTAATAAATACAAATGTCAAGCACATATAAAGGAGAATTACAGTCTTTAAAATAATCCTCACCCGTATATAAAAAGGCTACTAGACCATCAGGCATTTCTTCAGGCCTTTAAGGCATAGCTTTACTTCTGCCTGCCTTTTACTGATCAAGTTGCATTCCATGACAAATTTTCGCAATACTAAGTATTGTGAGATGTGAGATAGATAAGATGCAAAAGCCTGAAAAGCATGACAGGCCTTTATCTAGTGTGAACTACTATTGCTTTAGTGAATTTGGCAGGCCTGCACTGATTTACTTGGCTATGGTTGTTTTCCTCGTGTATCTGTATGACCTCCCTAGTATTCCCAAATACAGAATTGAACAAGTGCTCTGTTTACAAAAGAGGTAGGCTTTATGGGAAAGTTTTCATTAGAATGACAAAAACCTTCTATTTTCTGGTTTTGCTTTTTTTAAAATATGAGTCATATGGCTTTTCTGGACTATTACTATTACTAAACTATTACTAGTTTATTGTATAGCTTACAAGGAAATTTTACATTTAGAATTATGATTGTCCAGATCTGTAATTATCTTGGGATACTGACTACTGAACAGGAATTACTTTTTCCACCATGAATGTAATTTGAAATTTGGTCTTCAGTTCTATAAGTATCTTAAGGGTCAAAGTTATAAACTCAAAATGAACAAGTGTTATCAGAAAGACAGGCAAGTGCTTTTTAGTGTTTGGTTGAAATTGGTTTTTGATTGGATATATTTGCAGGAATATTAAATTTAAGAGGAGTCATGTTTTTGTCTGTGAAGGTTATAGCTTATGACTCAATATTGAAATGTACTTGCACTAACGGTTCACTCCTTGTTTGATGGCTCTGTTCAAGCCTACCTTTTGCAGAGGTTTTTTTGGTGAATAATTTTTTTTCTCCTCCAAAAAATGTGGAATTCATTATATTTTGCTTAATTTGTACATGTAGGGTTTGATTTTAAGCCTGTAGCTGAAAATGAAGCTCAAAAATGGAGCCAAAGAAACAAACTCTAAAGTGCTTACACTGGGGAAGTTACACTGTCAGCTGTAACAGATCTACTTTTTCTAGCCTTGCTTAATTGCTTGCTGATGCTGAAAGAGCTAAGTAGGCTATGCCCCGCAGAAACTGAATCCCATGCTTAGGAACTAAGTCTGGGCTCAGATACTATTGATTTTATGGAAGTTTGAAAGAACTAGGAACACAGTAACTTCAGTAAAAAAAAATAGTGGAAGGTAAATGGACATTTCTGAGTATCATGGAATTTCCTCTTTTTAAATCTTCAAATAAAGTGACTCGTGCCGTTTGCAAACTTCTGTTTCAATGAAATATTAGTTCATCTCAATCTTATTCACATTTTTTAGATCTTCCACCACCACCCGACCCGCCCCCCGGTCAGGGTTTAAGGCAGCAAATAGGCCCTGGCCAACGCGGAGGCTCGGCAGAGAGGAAAGGAAGCTCTCTTGAGAGGCAGCAAACATCGAACATAGATGAAACAAAGAGCTCATTGGATCGTCAAGCTAGAACATCATTAGAGTGGCAGCGGCAAACCCAGGAATGGATAAGCTCCACAGAACGGCCAGAAGACATAAGGAAAGCCCAACACAAACAAGCGTTCGGATCAGGTGTGTGTGCTGCCCCAGGCAAGGCAACGTAGACAGCTGCTTGAAACCTTCTGGCTAGCGTTGTGTCTAACTCATGGGAGTGTGAGATGGCCTTAAATCCGTGTGTTCCAGTATTGCTGAGGCTTATGCTAGAAAACAGAAAGACGCAAGTGAAATGAAAGCTTGTGATCCAAGTTCTTTCCCTCCTGCTACAATGAAATCTCATTAACACCTAACTCAGTGAATTCTTTACAGTGTTTTGGAAATTAATAATGCTGTCAAGCATAGCAACAGAGAAAATAAAAGGCTGTTTGTGGCAGGCAGGAAAGCAGAAAGAGATTTTTAAGTATTTTCTATTATATTTATTAGGCACAAAGGGCTATATTTCTAGATCTTTCAACCTGCATCTAAATTGGGAGTAGTTGTTTTTGCATGTTTGCAAGTAGCTCGATTCTTCTGAGCTACTGACATTCTTTCTAGCTGTATTTATTTTTTCATTTGCTCTTTTTGCAAAGATGTAACAAAGTAATTCATCTCTTAGGCATAGGAAGATGACAGTGCAGGCTTTCCTCTTCATACAGGACCTGCTCTTGCTGAGCAAGATTGGATTTGGATTTCAAGTCTGTAGAAACATATAAAGAAGGTGATGCTGATCCGAATTTGTAGTCCTACCAACTTCATAGATTCTTTTTCTCAGCCTGACCTCAAAGGTCCCCTTACTAGGATATTTTCTGTAACTCACTAATCACCCATTATCCTATGCTTATTAAATAGGGTGATACAAGAAGACAATTACTCAAAGAAGACAAAAAAAAAAATTACACAATATGCAGAGCTGTCTCCAGGGCTGCTTCTTTGAGTATGTATTTAGTTTTCCTAATTTCATTCTAATACTAATTCTCCTAGTCAACACAGCACAGTAATTTCAGTGTCATTCTAAGAAAAGCAGTGGCACTGGCAAACTTGTCACAGAAGTAGGATTTGTGAAGTCCTCCAAGTAAATATTGCTGCACATATTTCAAATATAATTATTGTAAATATCCATATTTTTAAACATATGAATGATACCATTAAAAACTCCTAGTCTTTCAGTTGTATATACAGAATGAATGGCTCTCATGTTGTTAAATGATTATGGTGTTAAATTCATGCTGTTTAGTGTAATGGCAATTTTGAGTACAATGCAGAAGATGTGCAAATTTCTATAGAATAGCACAAACATACCATATGTATCTCATTTCTTTAAAAATAATATTAAGGGTGCTTCTCTGACCTTGCTAGCAAGAAATCCCCTGTTCTTTCTCTACTGTGTAAATGTACAGGTACAAGTCATCAGTTACTGTACACTATAGAGAGTATACAGTAGCAAAATTCCCATACTCCATGACTTGCATTTATGTGTCCCTAAATAAAAAAGATTTGATCTCAACACTTCCATTGTCCTACTTGAGCACTGACCTTAGGGCTGGAGTGATTGCAGATATCTTGATCTTGTTAAATTCGGGATGGCTAAGGCAATTCTGCATAGGCATAAATGAGGATTGCTTTAGGAGATACCAGTTCTTCACTGGTTTGAAGCTGTTCATAAATATTATGTTCAAGGTATGCCAGAGCTTCTTATTTTGTTTGTGTTTCTTATACCAGCTTCTTCCACAGCAGCTTTCTTGCTCCGTATTCTTTTCTCTGGTAGATTTTTTAAAAGACTACTTTTGTGTAGGATGCTTGTTTCTATGAATACATTTTGTTATTAATAACATTAATTCTGCATCTTCCCTTTCCCTTTGTTATCAACAAAAAACTCTGGAGATCTATTCTCTGGTTTAGACCATTTTCAGATATTTCTAAAAGGAGTCATCATTAACTATCAGCTTCCAGAAAATGACTACTTTGCAGTTTAGGTGTCTTCATTCAGATATCAGCAATCTGTGAGTGAAATTTTGAAATAAAAACCTTTGGTTTGAAGATGAACAGAATGAAAATGTCTAATGCTGGAACTGTTTACCACTGATTGCTTTCAGTATAGACAAGATGACCAAATTCCTGCTAAAGGCTTCATTGCACATCCTTAGTCATAGCACATCAGATGTGACATTTTCAGCTATCTCTCTAAAGAAAGTAGTGCTAGATCAAGTTACAGTAGTCTTAAAATAACCTTTAAAGCCCTTTGGTTATCTTACGAGATATAAAAACCTTTTATGACATATGTATACCCTGATTTTGCACAGACTAGATTTATAACTTCAAATTAAAAGCTCGGTCTTTCAAAGCGAATGGCGCTGGCAGAGCTTTCTCACATTCTTTGCAGGGCTTGCCTATTTTGAGACAATTTTTGATACAAATAATGTATCTTTCTTAAAAATCATGACCCTATTCTAAAGACTTTAGACACCTACCTTTCATGTACTAGAATGCTATGAAAAGCTCTTATTTTATGTCAGTATTGGTTATTTTATGGGTTGCATTTATTACTGAGGACACATCAGATAATTTAACACACCATATGCTCTATAATGATAATGCACTTCATATTTATTCATGGTCATTTTTTTCTCAATATTTCATTGAACCCGAAGGAGGTCTTATCCTGAGTCCACAAACTAGAAAAACAAATCAGTTGACCATATATGTCATCTTCAAACCCTTTTGCAATGCTAGTGGTTTTTCTTTCCATCTTCTAAAAATGTATCCAGCTTTCTGCTAAACTGATTTATGCTGTTTGCTTTATTGCTGCCTTAATGCAAGCTGTTCCGTATTTCAGTCAGCCTTTGGAAAACAGGTTTTCATCTGATTCTATTGTTAAGGATTGTTTTATAAAGAGCAGGTAACATAATTTGAAAAGTTTTCACTGTTAAATGTCATTTGAATATGTCTTCTAGCCATTTATTTACGTTTCTGCAGGGACACTGCTGTCATAGCACAAAATACTGGTAATGTTCTGCAGTGCACATACTCTCATCCTTAGCCAGGGCCATAGGGAGATACTTTGGCAGAGGAAGAAGTCAGCTGTCTCCCCTCTTTCCAGTAAGTTTGCCTTACAAAAGGATCAATAGGTTCAACAGGAGATCATAAGGTGAATTCCCATGCCCTACTCACTTGTGGAAGTAGAATTTAGCAACAAAATTCTAGGTTTCCTCCATATTTTGCTCTCATTTGACTTTTCCCCAAGTTAATTGTGCTCCTGCCTCTGCTATAGCTGTGTCAAAGGCTTTGAGATTGTGAACAAAAACATTCTGATCTCGTCTTCCTTTCCAAACCCCATGTATTTTTCCTTCTGTGTTCCTGCCCTCTGTCACAAACAGAATGCTTCACCTCAGCAGATTGATTAATAGTGAAGACATTGGAAAAAAAAATAATAAAAAACACTTTCAGCCCAGATTAGCCTTTAAAAAGTGTGATACTTAAGCAGGAGATGTGCAACTGCTTTCAGAAGGGGAAATTCTTGTGTTTAAGGTTAAGTGTGTGCTCATACCCTTTCTTGAATCAAGCTATATTGAGTAATGTTTCTTTCTGCAGACTGCAAGTTAGTAAAAGTAAGTGGATCATACATAGCTAAGAAATTAAATAGTGCTTCTGTTTCAGTATTAAATCAGTTCTGCTGTTTAGTTTCTTAGGTTAGGGTTATTGCAACAATATCTCCTAGGAACTGAGATGTGGTCTTGCTTTACTTGATGCCATGTTAGTATGTGCGGTTGTATGGTTTATTAGGTATTAAACATGAACTCATCAGCACCTCATTATTACAGGGCTTCACACAGGAAGAGGCAAAGTGAGCAGGTGTAAGCCTCTTGCTCATAATGGAACATGAAGCAAGCTGTAGGAAGATTTACTCACCCCAAATATTATAGCTACTAATACTATGTATAATATAAGATTTTCCAGTGTAATTCACAACTAGTTAAAAATATTTTCAGTGTTTTCCACAGCCTTAGAAATTACTTGGCTGCTGGAAGCTAATTAAATTAGCTGATATTGTAGTTCTTTATCTAAATTGATTGAGGTAATGTTACCATAATTTAAGCTAAAGAAAAGGAAAAAGCACATTCATGTAGGCTTAAAGCAAAAATCTAATCATAGCTGCATTGTTTTGGAAATTGTATGTGCAGCTATTTTTATTAAACAATCTATGACTCATCATCTATTACTACATAATGAATCTAGACTTTTATAATTAATACAAACTAACTTATGAGTTCGCGTTAGAGCGAGATTAAATTCATGCTAGTGCCTTTGTCTGTGGAATACAGTTGTGTTTTTTCTTAAGTATAGTTGCTGTGGTATAAAGCAAAACAAAAGAGACATATCTGAAGGCCAGGAATGAGTATGAGGTCCACATCAGGATAGCTTTTTTATTCCTGTTGTATTGATTTTGTTCTGCTTTGTTTTTTTAGAGGAGGCACTGGTACCTTATAGTAAGCCCAACTTCCCATCCCCTGGTGGCCACAGCTCTTCAGGAACAGCTTCTTCTAAAGGATCGACTGGACCTAGAAAAGGTGAAGTCTTGCGTGGAGGTCACCAACGCAATGCCAGTGACCTTCTTGATGTGGGCTATATGGGATCAAACAGTCAAGGACAGTTTACTGGTGAATTATGTAAGTTTATCTCTAGCTACAGTTCAAACTCTCAGCTAGACAAAAAGGGACAAAGCACAGATTGAGATGCATGGAGTACGTAGACAGGAGATACTCTAGACAGGAAAAAGTTCAGTGTTACAAATAAAATTTTGCCCAGGTCTTTTTGACTTTTGAGGTCTTTTTCCTGTGATGACAAACAAGTTCATCTGGGTTCTTGGGTCTGGAACAATTCAGATCCATGTAAGCTAGGCCAAGGCCATCTACATAGTAGAACTTTAAGTATATAAGACTAATGAAAAGGAAAATGTTAGGAAAACAGAAAAGAATCCTGGTGATTCCAGATTTTCTTGGTAAAGTGTAATGTTCTTGTCTCAGAAATGCCACTGGTGAGGGGGTCTCAGAGGAGTGAATAAGAAACAGTGCTGAATCTGATGGTCACATTAGCAGTCTTATAATATCTCCTGGCTTGCTTTTGCTCTTCCAGCAGTGTTCCTTCTTGTTGACCTCAGAGTGGGGACCTCTTTTTCAACTGTGTAGCTCAGTTTCTCAACTGCATTTCCCAACACTTTCCTCAAACTGCCCAGGTTTGGAGAGGAACTAGTTTCCAAGTTGCCCTTCATTATCAGTCAGTGTCCACTAAACTGTAGTACAAAACCATGTTAATACCACACAGATGGCAGTAGTACTAGATATCAAAAGCTTTGACTCTGCTGCATGTGCTAGTACACCAACATCACAGCTGACTCAGGCATCCTGTTAAGATTACTAGTAAACACCATGTAGCTCTTGGCATGCCTGATTCATATTTGCTGTGGTCAAACCTTCCTTACCTATCTACAATTAACTTCCAGTAGCTTGTCAGAGAGCTATTTGGTCCACAAACCCTATTGGGTTCACAGACTGTGCTGTCTCAGATAAGATGTTGGTAAGTGCTGAATTTTAGGATCTGTCGCTTTTCGTCTTGGAAACAATTAAGTTTCTTCCCCCAAACTATTGCATATTCCTGATGTGCTTCAATAATAGTTTTGTTTTGTTTTGGAATAGGTGCTTTGTTTTGTTTTGTTTTCTCCTTATTACAGCCTGTTTCTCTCTCTCTATTTCTCTCTATAGAGTAGTTGAGAAGACACATTGCAAGCTGCTTTGATGGACCATCAGGTCTGAACTCATGGAAGTGATGACACTAAACAGTGCAATGAACATTTTCTTTATTTATGTACTATTAAAAGAACTGTAAATGCAATGTAAAGACACACAGCCACACATATCCCACAGATACTTTACTTGTGTTCTTCTCTTTAATACACCATCCACCTTAAACTATTCCTTGTCAGGAGTATATAAAAAAAGAAAGAAAAAAAAATCACCCTCCAGGATGAAAAGGATTTCCTTCTGTATATAATTTCTTTTGTTGCATTGCTATGCAAGCTCACCTTCTTTTTAGCTATGTTCATATTCATGTCTGTTTTTATTGGTCTGTTGTACTATATGTGAATTAATAGGCTGTGGTGCCATATATTAACTTTTAATTGTGTAACTTTTATGTTTAAAGTTTGCACTGCAATTTTATTTGGTGATAAGCACAAAACTCTACTCCTCATGACATGAAGAAAAAAGAGACTGAATGTGTGAAGAACGTTTATGTACTGTAAGCTGCTTCGAATAATGCTGGATGTAATGGAGTATATTAGGTGGTTTTCCATTGGGGTGTAGAAATAAGAAAGTGACAGGCAAAACTGATGTCTATAAAGACATCAGAGACAGATTTAAATCTTTTAAAAGCAAATGACATGGTTGTTCTTCCTGTTTAAGAAGGGGTCAGAAGGTGGAAGTGTGGGTTTAAAGAGTGAATTCGAAGATAGAAGGTAGTGTAAGATGGCCTTGACCCTTTCACTAGAACGATAAGCTTCTTAACCCTTTGTTTCTGCTTTTAACCATCTGATGCCATTGAGTAAAGGGGAAGAAAAACAAACCTTACTACAAAGAAAATAAATTAAGGTGTTTCACTAAAGCTGTTTTTACATTGCAGTTTTGAAAGGATTACTATGATTAATTAATTTCTCCAACCCCAAATATGAGACAGAGATCTCCTAGGAGAAAAAACAATATAAACTCAAGGAATACCTAGTAAGTAGTTAGGATGCAATTTATTATTAAGACATATTCAGGCTGCTTCCAAAAAAAAGAAATATGTCAGAGTATCGTATTTTGTCTTTCCAATACATGTACAGTACAATAGAGGATAGAGCTGCACCACTGAAATTCATGACATTGATTGTTTTGATAAAGTCTTGACAAACTTTTGTGTTCTGTTACCTGAAGTCTGCAAAAGCTGAAGTTGAATCCACTAAATTTGTAGTAAAATGTTTAGTGTTTGAAAGGAAAGCAATGGTCAAAAGATTTTCAGTTTGCATTAGGTACATTTCTTGCAATACGTCCAAAAAATCGGATACAAGCCAAGAAAATTTTTGACCTGTTTTTTTAGCGAGTGACTTTAAACCCTTCTATAATGATGAAATAATGCATGTTTATACTTTTTTTTTATTGAGTAAACCAAACTCTGTAAGTGGACATGAATCCTGTCTCATCATTAGTTTTCATGATTTTGTCTGGATCTTCTGTACCTACTAAATCCCAATGAGTAAATTGTCAAAAAATTTGTAGAATAATAATATATGTGGATAGCACACTCATTTGGTGCTTAATTTAAATATTACAACCTACAGCTTGTTTCCGTTAGCTATCTGACAATGAACACTAGTTTTGATTTGAATAACCTTTTCGTATAACCAGTCTATGTTGTTTTATATATTGCCTTGGAGCTCACCAGTATTAAGAACACTTTTAGGAATGACAAAATCTTAGAAAAGTAAATTACAATGCTAAATACGTGTTGCTTTTCATTTCATTAGCTTGTTCCATGATAAGATAAAACACACAGCCATCATCTCTAACTCAGCACTACTGAATATCAAAAAATGCCAGTTAACTCCCTTAAAGACAAGATTGTTATTTAGCAGGTGACAAAAAAAAATCAAGAAAAGATGTATGAATTCATTTATATTTGTGACCAATGCATATATTTTTTTTTCTGCTCGTTAAATCCCGCTTAATAGTGAAAACCATTGCTTGAAAATGTTCAAATAAGGTAAAGAAGGCATCATTCATATATATACAAACGTATATATATATATGTATGTATGTGTGTTTATGTGCATATATATATATATATGTTTTTTATATTGGTATTATCATATGAAGATAAGATTATTCAGAGTCTGATTCAAATTTAATTCTCTGAAAAATGTTTAACTAAGTCACCAGTAGATTCTTTTCTTTTTCTTTTAATGTGAAAGCCTGTGCTGAGCTTTGGTGGAACACCTTACTCACTGTAGTCTATTTAAAATGAATTTAGAAGTTGACAAAGCCATCCCGATTACTTTCAAATATGTGTTTTATCTCTTCCACTGGAAAGTAAATGTGTGTCAGTATTAAAGCTGTGCAGTACCATGATATTCACTAACTTGTCCATCTGCTTCTGTACATTTTTGTTCATTAATAATTTGCTTACAATATTACATAAGGTGTTGTGTATCGCAAAGTGTCTCCATTATCTTACAGATGATGTCTCCTCTTTTTTCTTTCTCTCTCTTTTTCTATACAATGTACTTCCAATGAACCACAGTACATATTTTTTAAAATGCCATTTAATTTACTATTTTAAAAGAAGTATTCCTTTTTTTAAAAAAATGGAAAACATTTATTGTGAATAATGTGTTTAAAGAAAAGGGATGTTGTGGCGGCACTTAGAATTGTTTTTTAATTTGTTCTTTTTTTAAACTGTTTATTGGCTACAGTTTGTTCACGGAAAAGTATGACCTCTTAATGTGTTTCATTGGTATTGTTAGTGCAGCAAAGTTTAATTGGCATAAAAAGTTGGTTAATAGTAACTGTTGAAGTGTGTATTGTATATTTACTGGGGAAAATAAAACATATTCACATTTCAAATCTATGTTAAAAGCCCTGAGTAAGGAGTCAATATGTGAAAAATGTAACCTAACAAAATCTGGGAACAATCAGGCAATAATAACATAGACTGAGCTATAATCATCACTGTCCACTTACAGGTAACAAGGATCATTTTATACACCGTTTTTTTTGAACTAAACTGGTAGCTGTCTTATAAATAGGTCAGTGGTAAACATTGCCTGTCGTAGGGATTTCTCTTTAAGGTCCTCTCTATATTGGAAATAGTTGTACCGATGTAATGACACTGATACAGCTATTCTAGTGATACCTCCTCCTTTTGTAGATCGCTGTATCAATGTGCAGAAAGGACTGCAAGTGCATGGCTTACCCAACTGAAAACCTCTCGAGTAGCGCACCTGTAAAAATCCTCTGTTTGGTGGGTTTCACCCTTTGAATGGGGGTTTTACCCTGGTGGAGCTACAGCCAGCCCAGTACAAAATATTCCCGGGGCGCATAGCGAGATCCTAGGTCAATTTTTCTCAATCTTTGCACTGAATATATACTCATTTTTAAATGCAGAAGGGCTAAAGGATGAAATAGTAAACTGTCGCATGTGCTTCAGTGGTGTATTGCTGTATGGGCAGCCATTTCAGTAATGCAAGCAACAGATCTTTATCTTTTGTTGTTTAGTATTTCTCAAGTCCTGATCAAAGTCAGTTAATCTTTCGAGTGTCTTCTGCTTGTCACGTCAAATACAACAGAAACACCATTCCTTGGGGAAAAAAAAGTATGAAAAAAAGGGAGCATGGAATGCTTTTAGTATATTGGTTTAACTGTAGGCCAAGGTAAAAGAAAGATATGACTCTAAAATAGTCGTGTGCTGTCTTACGCTTGCCTCGGTGCATACATTGCCAGCGAAGAGAAAAGCAGTGTAGTAAGGCTGGGAAAGCGTCCTCACAACTGACAGTGGAAAGGGGGAGATTCTGGCAGGAACTATTATTATTCTTTTTATTAATCTCCTTTGGCTTTTCTAGGAATTATGAATCGTTTGCTTTTTTAATAATTAAGGGCCTTGTGGAAATTTAGCAGGGGTACTAGAGAGAAGAAAGCTGGCCTTCTTTTATAAAGACTGGGGGAGGGGACTTGTTCGCCGAGGGGAGGATTTTTTATTTTATTTTTTATTTTTTTAACACATCATGTTTTGTTCCACCTGCCTGGAACACGTAGCTAAAAATAAATTATTTTTGAAAACTGTGTGGGCAATGGACGATTCATTTAGGATGTTTATTCAAATAGCAGGAAACAGAGTGAACACTAATAATAAATACGGCCCCTAGGCATTGCCTTAACATCAGCCAGATCCACAATAGCTTCACGTGCTTCCCTGCTGAGCTGTTGGCATGTGCGTAGATGTCGTTGCTTTCCCTTTCCTTGTGGAAATACTTTCTTACGAGACCGTGTTAGCGCTAGGTCCTCGGGGTGCTGCGCCTGGCGCTGTGTTGGTTAGCGCTAGGTCCTCAAGGTGCTGCGTCTGGTGCGATGTGCGCAAGGCGGGGAGCGCGCGGAGGCAGCTCCGGCCCCGGCCGGGGCCCCAGCACTACCTGCTGGACGCGGCCTCTGGCACAGCAGCTGTCAGTGGTTCCTGTGCTGGGCGCCTTGTGGGTCCTTGTGTACCCTATGGGCAAGGTGCCCAACCCCGAGCAGTGTTTTTCCAGGCAGGGGAGACCTACAGTGGGTTTTTTTCATTGCTGTACGTCACGTGGGGACACCAGCCAGGCGGGTCTCCTGCGCGGGGACCGCCCTGCATGGCAGTTGGTGGGCCCTGGCTTCTGTCCCCTGTGCCCCTGCCCTGGCTTCTCTATAGGGCAGGGTGCTGCCCTCCTCTCTGGAGCTGGGGCTGCTGGAGGTGGCGCGGTGCCAGGGTCAGGGAGAGCTAAGCATGCCTGCAGGGGCCACGTACATACACCCGGCTCATTAAAAGAGAGGTGGGGAGCTCGTCAGAGCAGTGGCCTCAACCATCAGCTCTGCCCGTTCCCCGCTTCTGTGCCCAGCCTCTGATCTCCAGCCCTGCCAGCCACCATCCCCCAAAACAGCAGGTAGGTCTTAGGACCACTGAGACATTTCTTGCGATCCAGAGGAGGAGGAGGACAGTGCCTGTGCATGGAGAAAGTGGTCACTTTTTAGCAGTGGAGGAGATGATTGGGAAGCTCTAGTGCTTGGTAGGAGGCTGTGCACATCACCTGGCCTTAGGAACGGGGATTGCCCCAGCATAGGGTATAGGCAGGAAGACCTCAGCAGAGAGCAAAGTCCCAGAGGGCACCTCAGCATTGCGTGACATGCGACACCTCTGTCAGTCTGGCACTGACTGTCCTTAATTCGGTGCCTGCTTCTCACTATGGATCTTGGGCTTGGCATTGCGTGCACTGACATTTAGACAACTGAGGTGTTTTTTTTTCCCTCTCCATCTAGTAGAATCATGAAAAAGAAACCCCAGAGAAGAGTCAATTCAGGACAAGTCTTCTAAGACAGTCCTTAAAAAAAAAAAAAAAAGCAGTCATACTATTGAGGGGGTACATGTTTGCAAATTTTTTTACTGCCTTTTCTTGGGTATTTTTTTCTTAGCTACAATTAAAAAGATCTATTTTTTTCTTAGCTGCTAAAACATTTCCCTCCCTGCTACCTCATTTTCCAATACATCTCTCTTGGCTGTAAGGAAGTTACCAGAGAATAATTACATTTGTGTGCATTCTGTGCTGTAATTTCCAACAAGAAGGTGCATAGTTGCATTCAGTTCAGTTGATCAAAGCCAGATGGGGATTAAATGTTTATAGGATTTAATTTTTTTTTAGAAAGGCCTGTTACCATTTGTGTAGATATTTGTCCCCCATTATGCTGATCAGCACATCTTTTGCCTTCAAGGATGCCATTAGTAATTCTCGTTTATGTTCAAAAGCAGGTCTCCATTGTGCAACACTTGGAGAGGCACTCGGATGCAGGTA